GGTGGGTGGGTGGTGGGTGGGTGGGTGGTGGGTGGAGGTGGGTGGGTGGAGGTGGGTGGGAAATGGCGAGGGGTCGGGGCTGGGACTTGCGAGGATCAGAAGATGGTGGCCACTAACAGGAAAGCATCTTCAGAGGGAAAGTAGGTTCTCAGTAGACGTGGAGTAGGGGAAAATGACGCTCACAAGGGCACTACATGTTGTCAACTAACAGGAAAATGTTTCCGGCCCGAGTGAACATGGCTTGAAAGCAAGGCATAGACAGCAGGATACAGTTTCTGTTCTTGATGAAAAGGCTGGCCTGGTCCATTTGCGCGGTGGTTCCTGGTCCACAGTGTAGGGCAAATATGACGTGGAAGTCGTTCAGGGATTAGAAAGGGATGCACTTGCGAAGCGAAAATTTGCAGCACCTGGAACTGTGTGCAGCAGTCTCGGTGGAGTTGCCTGCACCCGAACCCTACAAAGCTTGGACTCCTTGCGTGCCACAGCAAACGGCTGAGGTGTCAACGAGCTCTGCCAGATGAGAGTTTTGCCAGCCACAGCAACAGTTCAGTTTCCCTTACAAATATGACCCCTTTAAAAGGATTCAGCCTTTCCTCTTACTGTACAAATTCTTGGAAATGCGGATTTAACCACAGTTTTGGCACTGTCAAAAAAAAGTGCCTGGTGCCAAACACACGTCACATTACAGGAGCCGTTGCCAAAAAGTAGAGTGGGGCTTAAGACGTAGGGTTTAGAGCTTGGGGTTAGATGTAGCGCTTGTATCATTTGCTAAGCAGAATCCTTTGTGAGGTCTGTCCAAAGTTTAAGCCAGTGATTATGCGCAAGAAACCCATCCCCTTTCCGTTATCGAGGCCTTCTTACAAGCTTCTTGCGGATCCTTCCCTGGTCGTGAACACAGGGAGGTTGCAAAATTGAGGTGCGCCCTGTTGGGATTTACATTTTTATGAAAACCGAGCAACCAGTAAGAAGAGGAAGTCGGTGTCAGCGGCAGCAAGGGCGATCGCATCCACCTTCTCCTCATGTCTCACCAAGGTCCAGAGCTTAGTAACCTTCAGAAACAAAGATCTTCTGGGCCCCATCCCAAAACACTGGAATTCTTGCTCGAGGCACCTCGGCAAAAGACCTAAATTTCAGGATGTGTCTGCTCCACGGACACCACTGATTGGGAATTTGCAGGGAGTTGCATTGTTTTGCAGTGATCCTGCAGCCATTCTTAGTAGGATAGAAAAGAGCATGGATTCATGGCAAGGGGCGGGCGAGCTTGCCTAGAAAGCTGTTCGATCAAACATATATGATGCCCCTGCAGTCCGTACAATCTGAGAATGGTCCAAAAGCAGAGGCAAGGCCTTGGAAGCAGTTTCTGCACAGGGGGATTATGACTGAAGGCTTCTTGGAAAGCCTCCACTGAAAATCCTAAACAATTGGGGAAAAATATGTTCCCCAATTGTTGTGCTTTCAACCACCCTTTCAGTGGCATTTTCGAGTCCTTGAAAGAAAGCCTCGCCGCTTCAAAGGCCACGGCGATGTCATTGGGATCCTTCGCCATGTAGTTTTAGTAGATAGAATCTGGGGGTATATGGGGATCTTACACCCAAAGCCATTTTCCATTCAAAAATCGTGGTACGGATTCCTTTTGAAAAGAAGCTGGTTACACATGAGTGAATGCTCTCCAGGCTGATGATTAAATTTGTGAAATGGCAAACAGCAGGAAATGATTATGTAGATTTTGAGTACGAAGGAAACGTGTACTACTGGACTAGATCTACCAAAGCATATTGAGAGGTAATCACGCGCACCAGGAAGAAGTATCAACATTCATGATAGCACAACCAAAAGAGGAGGACACGCAGCTTGTAAATTATATCCGATTTACTGCTGATATTGCTGTAGATCGTCCTCATTCAGCAGCACCATTTTTGTTGCCATTCACCCACCAATAAGATCGGAAAAGCGCACATGACTTGAGGTCTTTGTGGTTATGATCTGCAACAGTAGCAGCATCATCAGCTTCTATATCCTGAGCACAACAACAGCATCCCCGAAAGCACCGGCAAAAGTGGCTCTTACCATCTGTGCTTCAGGATCAGGCCTTTTAGCTCCAGGACCTTGAGCCCGAGCAAACGATTCTCCTCACTGCTCCCCCGCTTATCTTCCCCCTCCTCCTCCTGCTCCTCCTTTCCTCCTCCTCTGCATGCTTTGTTCTTGTTGTCAAATCAAAGATTGTTCTAAGACAAATCCTCTGCACTGCTGCTTACCCTCCAGGGCATCATTCCCTCACACACCCAAACAATGCCTCCCCATCCGCACATGCCCTCCCCAAAGCCCAGCCTTCCCGCCTTTACGGCGTGGAACGATGAGGAAGCTCAGCTCCGGGAAGGCCACTCGGGGCTGGGAGGCCTGAAACATCGAGTCATACACAGTCACATTATCGCAACTGGGTAATGTTATGGTGCTAGGGAAGGAGATTGGCAAGAAAAAACCTAAGCCCTGAACTTAGACAACACCTGACAGCACCGTGATGTTGTCTGCTTGGACAACACCTGATAAGGAGCCTGTGCACTTGATGCATCCAGAAGATCCCCAGCGCTGAAAACTCGAACCCCCAACCCGGGAACCTGAACAAGGGGAATAGATGTTCTTGTAGCAGAGGGCATTTTGGGTCAGGAGGATGGGATTGCGAAATCGCTATTCTCTACGTGCCAAGCTTGGCCATTGTCTAGTTTTTCGCCTTTCCCGCAGCCGCTACCGTTGTTTTCTACAGCAGCATCATCTGTAAGACCGCGTCGTGCTGTCTGGTGTTGTAGCGTGTGCAACATGGTCATCACATTTCCACCCTCGCCCGCCAGGTCCTTCTTCAGCATCTTGATCAGACTGCCATGGAGTCCCTGTCTTCCAGCCGCTTTGCCAATTCTCAGCCCCAGCACCATCTGCAGCGTGTTGAACTCGTTCCCCTCGTCGGTCGTAACCATCTCTTATCAAGTTATCATTGCCTCTGGTTTTGGTCAGTTGTTTGTTTTCATTCCGGGTCATTACCATCATGCGGCCCCTCAGTTGTAAAATGCACATGTGTTTGAGAATGCAAGAGAGGGTCTTGAACAAGGCCCTTCCTCCCCTGACAACTCCAAGGCCACGAACTCCGGTTCGAACAATAGCAAAACAGGCCGTGCCACTAGGGGCTCTGTAACAGAATTCATTATTGCCGCGGTGGTCAAAGTGTCCAGGTTACAGCAGCAGCAGGAGGGGTGGTGGCAAGAGCTGGCAAGAGCAGGCAAGAGCGTCAACCGCAGGTGAAGTTGCTTTGCTGTTGTCGTTGCTGCACCTGCTGTTGCTGTTGGAGCAGTGCTCATGATTAAAATGGTAGCTCTACGAGCATTCGCACTTGTTCTCATACTTGATGGGAAGGAAGCAACCCCAAAGTAATGTCTGTAGTTGAAACGAGCAACCCAAAAGGCGAAGCCCTGCGCCGGGGCTTAGAATCTTGTCGTCTGGAATTCTGGATTCTGCAGAAAGGTAAGTAACTCATTCCCGGGTGCCCCGCCAATTCTTCTAACCCTGGATCCACCTGGGGAACAATAAAGCATCGTCAAAAAGAATTGAAAGAAAACATTCACAATGGAATTGCGAACATCGTCACAACGGTTGAAGGGACAACCTTGGGTTGCAATTCTTCAGGAGCGACTAAACCCCGAACCGCTTGCGTCCTCATACAACCCCTGCAGATTTCCTACCAGCCCCCAAAAGAATAAGCGGGTTGCCGGAGAACAAAATAGTGGATGAGGGCTCAACAATGTACAATTGCATCAATACGGACCCAGAGTTTTGAGAAATCCATCAAGGCCCCTGCAGCACAGACCACACCAGCAACCAGGTGCCCTCGGCGGCGCACAGCCGCGATGAGGCCTTGGAAGTGGCGAGGGCCGAAGACGTCGCCTTGGAGGAGCTTCTGGGCTCTGATTCAAAGAATTTACCTTGCGGCCTGCTGGCTTATTGGGGATCCGGAGCCACAGACTCTCCAGCTGCCTCTCCATCTTAGGATTCTGCCAGTCTGATAATGAAATTTGGGGCTGTGGAGGCTGCGTGAAAATCTCAGGTTCTTTTGTGTGGGTAGACCTGAAAGGATTGTTCTGTTGGAGTGCACTCCCAGCTTTGCTTGCCCAAGCTTGGGGAACAGTGATTACAGCAAACTCTCACATCCTAAAAGCAGTTGAGGCATGTAAGGCGCAGCCTCACTTTGAGAAACAGCTACAAGCATAAATTCCGTGGAATTCGGGTGACAGACTCCGTAAAGTCCACTTAGGGCTTCTACGAGCCTTCCAGAAGCCAGGTCAGCATCTTGCCAGATACCAACACCCCGGAGGCCGCTGACATCTCAAACCATGCAAAATTGATTTCCCGCGCATTTCTACTTGGCAAAAACTAAAATGCTATCCTTGTAAGACCAAGGTTTGCCCTGGTTGGCTCTGCGATTTGCACCGAGGATGTCACCATCGATCACCACACCATAACGGAGAGGTGCCGGCCGCCTACTCGCAGGAGTACTCCGCTTGCAATACGGCTCATAAGGGCTTACATTCAACTTGCAGAAACCTTGGTATGCTGTCAAAACCTCCCATCACATCCTCGGACACCCCAGCGCATGCAGGATAGGGCTAGCATGAAGGTCGTGAGACAATTCGACGCGTGAAGAATAGCCATGTTGCGCCCCAAGGCAAGAATGAGACCAAGCATGAAGACGTGACGGTTGCTCATAGGGGAAGGCCCTGGGAGTTGCCCCGCCTCCCTGGAGCTGATGCCTCTGGCAGGGTGCCAAGCCCACGAAGAGCGAGCTGGAACGCAGGGATAAGTTCAAGGCTTTCTTCTAGGGTTTGGGATTCAGCGTTTAGGGTATGAGCTTTCAGCTCTAAGGTTAACGGTTAGGTTTGAGGATTTTGGGATTTGTGCAGGTTACGCTCGGGAAGCCTTTAACGACGATATCAAACTAGGTTCTTTGTTCAGGCGTGTATGCTGTCTGGGTTTGGCTCACCACTGTGACTAGATTCACAGTGGTGCTTTCTTTTTTGAGGCTTCAGCTGCTACGGAGCCCTCCTCCAGTGCTGCATGTTCTGATGGCCTGTTATTGTGAACTGAAGCTCCACCCCAACCTCCTCCGAGACCCCAAGCCCCTGAAGTTGCGGAATCTTTATTGGAGCTTCCTGGGGCTTGGCAATTGCTTCTGGCTAGGGTCATGATCCTAATTGCTTATCATCGTGACTGAATACCCAAGTTAGTAATTGGTTATGAAATCCAATGAACCTCTAAGTCGAAGTATATATGCTTTATCTGGACCCCTGAAAGGGCTAGCCTGGCCTGCGTCGCGGCCTGCCGTATCTGCAGCACCCGCCCGATGACCATTTCATGGCTGGCAGGCGGGGAGGAACGGTTCTTGCCCTTGTGATTGTTCTTATTGTCGTTGCTGCTTTTGCTGTTGCAAATGATGTTTCTTCTCCTCCTCCTCTTAGTTGTTACTGTTGTTGGGCTCGTGGAGGTGGCGTGGCTGTGGCTATTGCTGGTGCTCTTGATGTTGTTGCTAGCTGTCAATTACGGCCACTATCGTGATGGCCACTCTCACAACGTCATGTATACTATACTTGCTGTTTCCTGCACCCTTTTGGCTGCTCTTGCATTTACATGCCCATTTCGAGTCTGGCTTGTTCTTGTCTTCATCATCAGCTGCTGGAATCAAACACTCCTTCCTTCTTAGCTTGTGATTCAGCGGCAGCGTTTCGTCCACGTTGGGCAAGGATGCCTCCTGCAAAACAGCCTTCATGCAAGAAACCTGGCACGATAGCACAAAACAAAAGGGCCAACGGCCAGTGGCTCATACAGAAGTATTGCATTCAGACAGTAGGCTTTACCGAGGTTGCCACATAGGTTCGGCGATGGCCACGGATCTCAGCTACATCGTGCCTGGTACAGACAGTGGAGGTGCAAACTGTAGACTGCTGGAGCGGATTGGCTTGTGGCTTCATAAGCGAAAATCAAATCTCCAAACCCTATAACCGTGCGCCCAGTATCCAATTTTGAACCGTGGAAATGCTGACCAATGTGGCCATCAGAACAAGACCCTCTCACCCACCAGGACCGAGGACCGCGCATGCCACCAACTGAGAACCGATAGAACCTCAGTATGCAAGATCTTCTAAACCACGGGCCTAATGCAGCACAGAAGCTACTAAGCAGGTACAACCGTGGGATTCAATGTTGCAAACCACCCATCTACAATCTATCTCTGCTGCAGGAGTCGCACTTGCGGGTTGATGTTTTGGTGGCTGAACTGAGCAGGACAGCTTTCTCCTTCTGAAGAAAAAAAGCAAAAAATGTTATCGTCCTCGCATGACAGTAACAGAATGCCCAACCACTCATTTGATGACCCGGCTTGGAGTGCCTTTTTCTTGCCCAGGCCGCATAATTCAGCAGGCATACTCCGGTTCTGTTGGCTGTGACACACTGTTCGCTGGGTGTGCTGCATCTTCGTAAAACTGCGAATCTCAAAGGTCCAGGTACCCCTATTTCGCGCAGGCATGGCAACATGAGAACTTAAAACTGTCGCGCCCATTCTTCAGATGCTTCTCACCCAGCGCTGACTGCTGCTCTGGAGAACAGACGTCTGGGCGGGCATTGCGCCCGGACTGTCTGCAATGCTAAGTGCTAGGACCGGATGGTGACACATGCCACGAAAAAGGAAACTAAAACATACAACTGTCGCTTGGTAGTCACCTGGCCTTAATTGAACGCAGGGCTAGGCAACCGGATTTGATTGCTGAACTTGAGACGTACACGAAATTGTTTGGAATTATCGGGTCCTCTACTCATTTGCTGGAAGCATCGCCAGGAATTCTGCGCAAAGTGGCCGCCGCGCCCAGCGGAGGTCCTGCTTCACCTGCAGGGTTTAGGCGTGTAGTAGTAGTAGTAGTAGTAGTAGTAGAGTAAGCAGAAGTAGCAGTAGTAGCAGTAGTAGTAGCAGTAGTAGCAGTAGTAGCAGTAGTAGCAGTAGTAGCAGTAGTAGTAGTAGCAGTAGTAGTAGATAGTAGTTCGTGGTTAACGGTTAGTAGTTAGTAGTTAGTAGGTAGTAGTAACAATAATACTTAATAGGTAGTAGTAGTTAATAGTTAATAGGTAGTAAGTAGCAGTAGTTAATAGCTCATAGGTGGTAGTAGTAGTAGTAGTAGTAGCAGTAGTAGTAATAATAATACTGATACGGAGTCTTCGGGCGCAACTCCAGGCGCAGCGGAAGTGGCAGAAGACGTGTGGTGGCAGGTCAAGGCTAATAAGGCGTACCCTGGACTAATGGGGCGATGATAAAATCTAATCAGAAGTCCTCACACCCTTGGACCAATGGGGCGTATCCTGGACGAATGGGAAGTACCCTCGACTAATGGGGCGATGCTCGAATTAAATCTGAACTCCTCATACCCTTGGACTAATGGGGCGTACCCTGGACACATGGGAAGTACCCTAGACTAATGGGGCGGTGATAATGTTAAATCGAACTCCTCACACCCTTGGACTAATGGGGCGTACCCTGGACGAATGGGAGTACCCCAGACTAATGAGGCGATGATAAAATTAAATCAGAACTCCTCACATCCTTGGACTAATGGGGCGTACCCTGGACTAATGGGAAATACCCTGGAATAAATCAGAACTCCTCATACCCTTGGACTAATGGGGCGTACCCTGGACTAATGGGAAAGGTAGATCCCAAATAAAAATCACGGCTGCACCCTACAAAAAACATAAAATGAGCACGAAACCAACCTAGAACGCACATTTTCAAGCAACGCGAACATCCCAACACTAAGCCACGTATGACAAAATCTAACGTAGGTAGATGTCGGAAAAACAGCAAAAACACCACCCCTAAAAAACGTGAAATCAGCACGAAACCAACATAAAACGCACATTTTCAAGCAACCCGAACAACCCAATA